ATGCAGTCACGGTACATATTACATATTGTGTGGTAGTTACTCATATTCTTGGGTCAACGTTGCGGAAGAAAGTCTGTAATTAGCGTGGACATCTTACATACTGTCTTTGTTGTTCACGTGTTGGTTGCCAGTGCCGTTCTTGGGCATCCTCTTGCACTTGCTCTCAAAGTTGCTGCTGCTCTTGTTCTTGTCGTTGGTAAGTGGGAAGTACAGCAAGTGCTATCATCTTTGGTGTAAGAGTATAATATGTTTGACGATATTGGTCTTCTCTGACAAACGGTCCGTCGACTGCACACCTCCCGGTCACCTCTCAGTCACTGCAACTCGTCTTGAAAGGGCAAAGTCTTTTCGGTTGGCTGCTTGCTTCGGGAATGACACTCCGCTTTAAGATCATCTCCAGATCCGCCGTCACCCGCCGTCATCGGCCGAATGGAGACGCCGGAGATCGTCCTTTCTTTCAAGCTAAGAACCACCAGTGAGGTTGCTTGGAGTCGCAAGGTTCCCCCCTTAAGCATTTCCTTTAAGAATTGTATCGGAAATCCAACATCCAGCATCGAATTGGTGTGGACCACTGTTAACATCATTGAACATTGAAGTAAAACATATCTTATCTTGGCTTGGAGGGATCCGTGTCGCAAAGCCCAGAGCAAAGCCTGCAACACTTCATCTCCAGCTTGAACACCAGCTTGCTCAGCTCTGGAACCTGGCCTGACAACAAGGAATCTGAACAGGCCGGTCTGCCCAAGATATGATCTGGGGGCTGCCCATGCATACAACCCCTTTTGGTCACTGCAGACTTTACAGATCTTTCAAGTCAAATGAATGGATGCGCAGCCTGAATCCTTACAGTACCTGGAGTCACCCTTTCCCTTTGATCTGCCACGATTTCATCATCTGTCATCACCATGCGCCAAGTGGGAAGAACCGGATCGCGTCGACAGGTCTCGCGTCAAGCGTCGACCCATCCGCGACGTCTCGCCCGCGCCTGACGCGCTGGAAGTACACGGCATCACCCTCGCCCCCTCAGGTGAGTGACTTCGTCGCGGCATTTGGAACCAACGAGAAAGGCAAGACATATCAGCTAGAGTCACAACAAATGATTAACATACGCCTGATCTTCCATTGCTTGTAGCTTGAACTGGAAGCAAAAGCTCTTGCTTTGAGTCTGGATGTTGGGTTGGTCGAAATCTCACCCAATCAGGAGGTAACTCCTTGCCCCCCAAAAAAGAGTTATAGTAGTTACGTCTCAAAAAGGAGCGGGACCCACGTGGTAGCCACACGTCTCGCAAGAGAACAGGAACACCATTCATTAGTCCTGCGCGGCCATGAGAAGCCCCAAACGCAATATCTCAAACACGTCAAATACCCGGAGCCAAGGACTCCCAACCATTATTATATTGAATACAAACATGTAAAAAACTAACCATGACCCCATCGAATAACCCCAATCTGTGAGCCTTGTTGATAAATCTATAAGGCCATAGAATACCATAGACATTTCTCATGAACTTGCATTGCATATTTCTTTCGCTTCAACCGGCGGTATACGGCTCTTCATCCATCCATCCCTTCCATTTCCCAGCCTTCCAGGGTGATCTCCTGCTCGGCCTCACGCCGGTCCTAGCAACGTGGAGTGTTTCAGTGCTCTGAGCCAAGCAGAAATCCATGGTGGAATGAAAAACATTGAAAGAACGCATTGAAAGAACCCACTGTTAGGCCCATCGTGTTGATATGTGCCGATCACTCTGAAGCGGCACATCTCAGGAGTTCGATGAGATCTCACAAAGACTCGCGCGGCGCCTCGTAGTGCAAGCAACCACCCATGGGTGCTACGGCAACCTGAAAAGGACCAAGGCCAGGTCGATCTGGGTGAAAGGACCGTGGGGTATGAAGTCTGGAGCGTCTGAGTCACCATTTCTCTCATGTGAACATCCCCATGTCCCATCAACCGATGAATCGTCAAAGCCACGGGACTCTGAGCGAGCTTGTGGGATCTGCCCTTTCAGATTTGCATTGGCCCACTTTACACCCTGCAAACTATTTTTAGATATTGTTAGCCAACCTGCAGGAGCCCTGATCTGTGGTAATTAAGGCCAACCTGTGGGGGACACACGCGTGACTGAGCTTGTAATTAGTTATAAACGATGATATATGTTTACGCTGTACACTACCTCTTTCTCTGATATGAATCACTTGAGTGATTGTGTAGTAGTCTTATAGATTCTGTAGTAGTCACCGCCAACTGAAACTGCGGATCAAGGGAGATCCAAGAGCCTCCGCATCAACTGATGTATCTGCAGATACACTCCGACTTACTAACATGCAAGTGGACGTTCTGGCCCCGAAAGGAAGACTATTCTCCTCTACCAACAGGTGGTTTTCTACTTCCATGCAGTGAGTCAGAGACTACCCGCTGACCATCTTCGCCCCTCTCCCACCAGCTGGCGGCTTACAGCTGAGCCAGCCTCATCATCTTCATCAAAGCCTCAGGAGAGCTGAGTGCTCAAGATCAAGCACAGAGGTGAAAGGGGCAGTGGACCAAAGAATTTTTTACACCGTTGTATCCCCATGCATCCCCTTCACACACTACACGACACCACTTCCAGCAAACTCAACAAACTGATTGTTTAGGGTACAAGCATGTGCACACAAATCCGAATCTTGGGCGGTTGACCCTCCCTGCCACGGCGCTCTCATGGTGGCAGTGGATGGCACGTTCTCCCTCTTGGTATGAGCAGCACATCGTTTTCCGAACTCGGGGTATTCGAACGTCCATGGAACCATGATTCTTTCAGAGAGGAGTAACACAGACATGCCAAAACGACATGCTCGAGACTGGCCAAAGCATCGGGACCTTGGAACCCGATCTCCATCCGACCTGCCGCCCAAAGCACGGAGCCCTATCCAGCTGGTCGGTGAACGAAGGAGGCGACAAAGGCCAGCCCAACAGTCTCAGCCGTGGCAGGTTATATCGGTCTGTCCAGTAGGGAGATCCCAGAGAGAGAGAGAGAGGTTGGTAGGGAATGAATTGATCGGGTAGAGACGAGAGTCTTATAATGTATTATGAGAGTATTACAGAGGAGGTCTCAGAAGCTACTAGTAGTAATGCCCTTGTTACTATAGTAGAGGAGGTCTCAGTACGGTAGAGAGTCGGAACGAATTGATCTACTTTACTGTCCACCAATCTTTCGGGTGATTCAAAGCATTGGTGGCCAAGCACCGCCAAGGCCGCCAACGGAAGGGCAATCTCTCACTCCCTCCTGTGCAGTTGGGGGGCTCTGGGCCTCTGTTTTTGCAGTGTTTGTACGTGTCGAATGAAAAACGAGAGCAACACACACACACACACAACAAACCACATATAATTGTCAAGAACATGTTAATCATTAACAACAACCAAACAACACATGTTTGCAGGAACATCACACCACACAAGTGCTTGTGGTGTTTTCATTATCAAACAAGGACCGAACGAGTAGAAACTGTCAAATCAGGTGAACCGGTGAACCCGTGCAGCCTACTGACCAGCCTCTATAGCTGGGATGAAACGTGAAGCACAAAGAGGCCCCAGTTCGATCCCCAATTCAGCTGGACCTAAATGAACGATCGAGCGGAAAGCCATAGCCATCTGCATCCGCATCTAGTCACTGAAGAGCTACTCGCGGAGCTTTGTGAAAACCGAAGAGGATTGGAAGGGTCATCCTATGTCATCCTTTAGTATATTGAAGTCACCACCAGTAGGGATCAGCGGCTTCTGAGCAAACCAGGTATGGGACAAGTTATGTCATTTGACCATTCATCATTCATCTCTGGAATAAAAGCACAGGGAGTCTTCACAGAGTCTCAAGAATTCCCTACCTATACCGCCAAATTGAACCAATCATGAAAGGCATGTCTTACTAGGAGCGATCGAACGCCACGAACGGTGTTCCTGGCCTTACTAAGGCCCACCACCGGCGTCTGAGGATGCCACGGCGCATCGTGCTTGCTCGGGGAGTCGACGAGTGGGTGGAGTCGTATAACAACTGTGATCGTGTTGTTGAGTGTTTTTCATTCAGAGGTTAGCACTGATAAAGCTGAACCCGTGAGCTCCCAGTAAGGCATCTTGCTGAGCTCCGAGTCATTGTTTGTGTTCCGAAAAAAGGCGTCGGTGCTCAATTGGGTTGATGTCCTTAGTCCTTAGGCCTTCAGTGACATGGACTTAATGTGTTTAGCTCTCATGGGTTAATATATACCAGCTTTAACCTTTGTTCATATCACTCCACAGCCAAATGTCCTGCGAATATGGCAAAGACACCAATGTTGCCAGCTTGCCCGCTAGCACTCATGAAACTCTTTCCGCCTCGACTCGAGTCTTCCGCCCCTTCGAAAAACACGGTCGCCCTTGCAATCCCAAATCTGGAGCCAATGGGAGCCATCTACTGAGCCATCTCTTTGAGGTCCAAGGTCTAAAGGGTACAGTAGCCATCTCTGCTGACAGTGGTGACCCAATGGGGGGGAAACCTGGACACATCCCCAAAACACATCCCAGCACTTCCAATCCTGGATGAGTCTTGTGCAAGGTACGATGAGTCTTGTGCCCGTGTAACATATCACATCAGTTCGCTTTTGCATGAAACTGTCCAAACACTGCATGTATGAACATGATTTACCAACATTGAAACTACTCCAATGCAAATACAATCAAGATCAATCTTCCATGAGACGGATCACCTGGGAAATGTTATCAATTGAAGCTAAGCACAGAAACACTTCTGAGCTCCGCAAGATCTGGCATCCTTTTCCACTTTGAGCTTCTGAGTGAGTCTCTCGGACTCTTGCCCCCCAACAGAAGTAGGGACGTCCAAGGGCTAACCCTCGTGTCAAAGCTCTACTTCTGGCATCACCCAGTTCTAAACAAGAGCACAAGCTCCCAGAGAGACCACAAATCTCAGCTTCCATCGCATCCAAGCCTGTTTTGCTAGCATATTCCGATGGTTATTTTTTCCATCACTCTTCCCCTCTGCTCACTCTGTTTGGAATCTGAGACTTGTGGGTCTAAAGACTCCCAGTGTCCAACGTTTCAAAACCGAAGGCTTGAGCTCTTCCACCCTTTCGGAAGAAGTCCATCGGTCAAACCAAAAGACTCCTTTCCCTCAAATACTTCAGTGGGCCCCCCGTTCGAACGCTCCCATCTATAGCACTCCCAGCTACGGAGTCAAAGCCCCTACGAAGCCAAGCGCGTCGCCCGGCGACTCCCCAAACCACCGAGGCCTCCTTCGCTTCGGCCGCGTCTCCGCAGGCGCGTCGCCCTTCAGATCGGCTGTCGAGCCCGCCCTCAGGCGGCGAAGTCTTTGGCATCGTCTCCTTGGTGGCCTCCGTCCGACCTGCACGCGGAGCGTCCCGGCTCTCGGCTCTCGGCGAGCGCAAGGCCGTACCCTGAATTGGGAACTGTGGTTGGGAGGCATATCGTGCTTGATCAGGGAATTCACAGGGCATTTCAAATGTTTAAACTGTGCTTGGCTTGTTGCCCAAAGTTCTACGTTTTGGCCAAGGTCGGTGTGGAATAGTTCTATCATCCGATATTTGAGAAAGTGAAATAAATTGAAATCGCAGGATTGCAGGAACCCAACAGGGCAAGTCAGGGGAATTTGTAAATATCTTGTGAAGGTGGGTGCTCTCTGGCTTTGATTATATGTAACATTGTCTAAATAAGGGTCATGGGACGAGTTCTACAGGAAGTACCAACCCGGACGAGCTCCACAGGCGGGCGGGTTGGTAAGGTCACACACAGCTTGCGCAGCGAGGCTAGAAATCTGGTCGATTCTAGGTCCTTGCGTCTCGAAACATGTCCAACCGCAAATTCAAAAGAGAAAGACTTGTGGTAACTACCACTTTGACTTGTGTGGAACATGGCAGATGTTTTTTAGATTTGTGATGACAAACTTGAAGGAAACTGCCCAAGAACTGGTGGACATCTCATGACATCTCTCCCATAAGACTTGAACTTCAGGACTACAAGTTCACCGATAATTCACTGAGTCGTTTACGTTGTTGCTGTAAAACAATATGTTTTCCCCCAAAACAGCAATTCCCCAGTATACAGTATAAATATGTATAAATAGGTAAGGTATGGTAGGGTTGGCTCCTTGAACAAAAATGAACAAGAGACCATCATCTGGAACTCGATCCAACGTTGCACCATGAACTTCAAGTATTTCCACGCCGCACGCCACTCCAAACAACTCTCTCCGCCGCTGACTCCTTCGGCTAGTCCTAAACCTGCTTGGCCTTCGTCCGGGCCCCCGACTTCTTGATGTCCGAATCACCCTGGAAGTCAAACTGGTCGACGATGCCACCGGCCCAGGTGGAGTCCTTCGACGTCTTCGCCGTTCGTTTCGTTAAAGACGTGTCGCCATGGGCGGCTCGATATGCACTGGTGAAGATAGATCCAAAATCCGCAAAGAGTGGAAGAGTTTCTGAAACATCCTGAACAGTCCCACTGCTGGACCACCACCACTGGCTGCAGCCACTGGTTCTTTTCACCTCGCCCGAGCCTCATCACCTTCATCCAGCGCCACGAAGGACTTCAAGTTCCCCTGGCTCGCCTTCCACCGGGCCGGGGCCGGTCCGCGGCGATCAATCAGTGGCGGTCCGAGGTGAGGAATGAGGTGGAGACATGGTATAATCTGTCCCAAACACTCCCTGTATATCCTGTATGGAATACTGTTGAGAACGCCTTACAAACCACCCCACGATGTAAATATGTAATACACATATTTGTACGTGCAGTGTCTGGGAGTGAGTCATGGCATCGAAGGCAGCTCACCCAACCCGACATCTTGTGGAGACGGTGAGAAGTGATCAGTGTCAAAAACGTCCGTCCTGGAACACAGTGCTGGTAGAATGAATCATGGTCTTTGAAGCAAGGGAGTGTCAAGCACACCTGTGGTTGAGTTCGAGTTGGCCAATTATCGCAATTCTTTTCAGCGTGAACGACCTCCATTCAGAGTCAACACATGCTGAGAGGTGATCCATGGAGCAGCGAAATGGCCTTGTCACTTGTCCCAGAAGAACAAAGTGCTCAGGAGAACCGCACGGAAGAAACCATGGAAAACCATTGCTGGGAAAATCACACTCACCCAAGGAAAGTTCATGTCAGTCTAGCTGAGGATACAAACGCTTTGTTTGCCACCCTCTTTAGGGGTTCACATGAAGTTGACATCCACCAAGCAAATGTCGCCCTTTATGGCACTTTGATGACCACTTTTCCAGAGGAGAGCTGTCTAAACCCTTCAAAGGAACGACCCAAGGTTTACGCACATCATGATTGGAGGACCTGACCACTTGACCGCTGTTCCCTTGTGCACCAAAAAGCTGTGAGGTTGTCCCATGCACCAACAAAACTGTGTACCAATCTACAAAAAGGGCAGAAACAGCCAACGCCCCAGCCACAAAGACAGAGTACATCTTGGACGATGGCATATGATGAACCTGCATGAAGATGTCCAGCTTAAGTCGTGTCAAGTCCTTTCTGAAGATCAAATCCTCTTCAACCTTCAACCGCTTAGAATATTTATATATACCACCCTCAGAACTCCAGGCTCAAATATCAAAGATTGCTTTAGCTAACCCCATCCATGTACTGCTAGTTATCTATCATTATCAATCTATCTATCCATCGATCTATCTATCTTGCCAGCAAAGAAACACTCCTTGCAATCACCCCAGGCAGTGGTGTCAATGCAGTCGAGTGCCACATGGTGCTGCCCCTTTGTAAAGGAATGATAGACCAACACCTGCGGATTTCGGATATTGTTACATTGTGAATCCACCAAAAAAAGAGAGCGGTTTCATACGCGGCTTGATAGCCGTTTAATGTTTCTGTTCGTGGTCTTTGGCGCCTGCCAGGCCATGAAGTTGTCCACCGGTTGGTCAATGGGCGTGGCCAGCTGCAAGAGCTTCTGAGCTCCGGCCTGGATGTGAGCCGGGTAAGCCGGATCTGGATTCAAGCTGGATCTTCAAACGACCTTTCGGTAAAAAACAACACCAAAATCAAAAAAATACACATGCTGTTTCAGGGGCTGTAAACATGGTTCAAAATCAATGGATGGCGAAAAACGCTGTTTTGGACATGTAAAGACGCTGTTTGGACAGCACGCGGTTTCCCTAGTTCCTCTTTGTCACCAACACAAAATGCCGTCTTTGGGAAGAGACGCTGTAACGGCATGTTTTTCCTAGCAACCTTATTTGTGCCGTTTCGAAGATTCAGTTGTACTATTGCTTCTTGGTGACACGGTGACGCGTAAGACTCTTTGGAGAAAAACACATGACTCTTGGCACATGTGAGATTTACAGTATAAAGTTTACTAATTGCTTGTTATAGCAACATCGATGAGCCGTGATCAACATGATGGATGCGTCGGATTCTTCATGATTCTTCACTAAACACAGTGCACCATCCTGCTTCGATTCTTACCCCAAGTTCCGACGTGAACGGCGCCATGAAGGGCGCCGTTCGGCCAACACCCAAACCACTCAGTCCACGGGCCTGTGAGATCACATAAGCCACAGTGGTCCAAACATATTCGGCCTCAATGCGTGAGATTGGGACAAAATGGCACAAGACCATCCAGGTCGGTCACTGAGTGGATGGGGACACGATCTCGCTCCCTCTGAACATGTTGCAAGACAAACCAATTCGGGTTCAGTCTGCTTCGGCCCGCTGGTGGTTGAAACCAAATATCGCAAATGTTGCGAAGCACGAGCACGCAAAACCAAACATTGCAAACAAAAAACTCATGATTCAACATCTGCAGAAGCACTTCACTTGGCGAGAAATCTGAGGCCTTCTGAATGAATGTTCGATCAGCATTTGAGAGTCCGCTGTCATCCTCCTGCGGAGTCCGCAAGCGCTATGATCAGAATGTTGCAAATCTCCATGGTCATTGATTGAATGAGTGTGGGTTAAATTTCCTTCTTCCAGAGGGCGTTTGAAGGCAGCGTACTGAAAGGACAAAATCTGCAAAGGCGCAAACACTGCCATGTTTACACATGGTGCCTGACATTGCCTTCTTCGACACTAGAACCCAGCAACAGCTCTGCTGCAGGGTCGTTGATACCGCGAATGCATGTGAAGACTGACACTCTGACATTGGTTTGCTGTTAACTCAGTTCCCAAGTCAAAGAAAGGTGGTGGAACAGAAAGGCGAAGAGTCCAAGCGTTTGTAGGTGTTTGAACAAACTGGTTTCACACTTGACTGCGGAAGCTAGCTAGTTACTGCATTGGCCCTTTACTGCAAGAACGGTAAGGTGCAAGGGTCCGAAGACTTGAGGCCGAGGCTAGGTGACGAAAGCTAGCAGGGGTGCATCCGGACTGGTGGGACATCAAGCGGAGTGAGGCAAATGCTCATGAGGTAAAACTAGTGAACATGTAAGACACACAAACAGCAATGACACAGCCAACCTTAGAATTGAAGTCCCCGATAATTAAGGAAGCGTGGCTGGACTTTGCCACACTGTTCGATGCATCCGATGTGTTCACGAACCTGTGAGCTTGTTGAATCTGTTGCGCCGTATCCCAAAACCTCCACGGAGGAGTTGAACCAGTGTGGATGCCATAAGAGGTGCCCAAGAGGTGTCCCAGAGGCAAAACAAAGCTGCTTGCATGATTTGTTTGGTTTCTTCTATCGATGTCGATGTCATGAACATGTGAGCTTGTTGAATCTGTTGCACCGTATCCCGGAGGAGTTAAGCCAAAGTGGATGCCATAAGAGATGCCCGAGAGGTGTCCCAGAGGCGTCCGAGGGGGGAGTTGAACCCACGGGGGGGGGGGGCCCCCCCCTACATATGAAGTTTTCACGTGATGCGGCGATCCCGAGGATTCCAGCCCCTCACTTGCTAAAGCAAGGACAACTCCAGCTAGCTGGTGCTAGCTTTCGTGAACAGAACTGTTTAACAAACGCACTAGCACTTTACCAAAGATAAGGAAACCTGTTTTGGGGGATATCATGCGAACAACCACCATGGAAACAACAAAAGGAAAAGTGGAGTCACAGCGTGTGCAAAAGTTTTCATCCGCGAGGTACAGAAGTTTGCGTCCAAACTTCCTCGATTTCCCTAGCTTCGTTGGCGTGACTAGGAAATCGACCGTCACGCCCCCTGCGACTTAAAAGTTGAGAAAAACAGAAACTCTTAGTTACAGAGGTGGACACACACAGAACGCCGATATCGGCGCTCTGGGGGAACTTACTAATCACCTACAAAGCCTTAGAACGAAAGGAAAGAAAGACAGAAAGGAAAACGCAAAGGAAAGAGAGAAAGATAGGTGTAGTGACAAGGCCCACTAGTTACGAAACCTGCTAGTTACTGACTGCTTAGCCGCATGAATAAAATGCACTAGTTAGCGGGCGGGACATACGTCTTAAACCGCCCGGGTAGCTAGGAGTAGAAAAGGAGAAACAGAAGGAAAGGTACCGACACACAAGTGTGTCGAGTACCATTTCCTTCTGTTACCCTAGATAGCGGGCGGGATAGAAACACGAATTAGGTTGCAAGGTGGGGGGGGGGTGTGGAAGTGTAGACAGACACAAGGAACCGTAACGTGTCCGATCTCAAAGTGGTCGTGGTTGGAAATGTGAGACAGTACATTCTTGAAAGTGAAATCAAGCTGCAAACACGAACGTGAGTCTGATCAACGAGTGGAATTGCCGTGAAGGCCGGCGGCATAAGTTGCAGGGAATACAGTGGTGAAACTAATTCCGTTAAGAGAATCCAAAGTCTGGTGGAGACGGTCGAAGCAGTTACACGAGTTCCGGAATAAAAACGGCGCCTCCTTGCGGAGGATCACACCCAGCACCCAAGTGGGACGACTGAGCGAGTCACACTCTGACATTGGCTTGCTGTTAACTCAGTTCCCAAGTCAAAGAAAGGTGGTGGAACAGAAAGGCGAAGAGTCCAAGCATTTGTAGGTGTTTGAACAAAGTGGTTTCACACTTGACTGCGGAAGCTAGTTACTGCATTAGCCCTTTACTGCGAGGACGGTACGGTGCAAGGGTCCGAAGAACAGAACTGTTTAACAAACGCACTAGCACTTTACCAAAGATAAGGAAACCTGTTTTGGGGGATATCATGCGAACAACCACCATGGAAACAACAAAAGGAAAAGTGGAGTCACAGCGTGTGCAAAAGTTTTCATCGGCGCAGGTACAGAAGTTTGCGTCCAAACTTCCTCGATTTCCCTAGATTCGTTGGCGTGACTAGGAAATCGACCGTCACGCCCCCCTGCGACTTAAAAGTTGAGAAAAGCAGAAACTCTTAGTTACAGAGGTGTACACTTAGAAAAAACCACACAACAGTTGTACAAACCACAGTTTAGCAAAATGTCAGATCAACATAGATCAAACATGAGGATCAATCGATTAGCAAACAACTTATTCATACATGACCTTGTTACTTCCAAATCATTTGCTTTTATATCCAGTAACTAAATGGCTGGACGTCCAACCACTTGACACACAAAGCTGGTTATGTATTTCTTTGGTTCGTCAAGAAATCGCTGTTGAAGTCTTCCGACCAATGAGGGATCTCCAGAGATTGGGTCATTGAAAGGGCGCAGGAGCAACAAATTCTTGAACCTCGCGTCCTTTGCACAGAGCGTTTAAGGAACAACTCTTCCAGGCACGATCAGGCACGTTTGAGGAGGGTACTGCCCCACCCCAGAATGTAACACATCTTCCAGGGGGGTGCAGTAATGCGTCCTGTGGATCCGTCGGTCCAGCAACTCTGGCCGCCCCCCCTCCCACAGAAGTTGCTTTTCTTATGCCTCTCGTTGGATCCGTGTGTGACCGTCTCCTTCCAAAGCTTGAAGTTGCCACCTCTCCAGCCACTCCAGCCCAGGTAGATGACATCCTTAGATCTCCGTACATCTGCCATCTCTCCAGCACCAAGAGTGCGGTGGCCTGCCCTCTTGACATCCTCCCAGTGTCCTTTTTCTATGTGACTGGAGTCCTGTAGAAGCATGTGAGGTACCCAATGCTGTACCTGATGGCTGACCATGTGGGTCACCTGGAACCCTTGTTCTGAGATTTCGGCTCTTAAAGCATGCGAGCCTAGATTTCCAAATTAGCATGGGCATATCACCTGGGACAAAGGGTTGCAAACACTGAACTCAGTGATATTGAAAATAATATAGCCCACTGATACCCCGACGGCTTTCCATCATCCAGCATGGGGTGTGACCATTGTCACATCAAGCACTGACTTGTCTTCAGTCAAGTGGTAGACTTCCTTAATCTCCAAGCAATGTGAAGGAAGCTGATCTGCTTCCGCTCGGTATTCGTGGGTGGTTGACTGCATCAACTCAAAGGCTGGATCGATCTAGCAAAGGAATTGTACACTCCCGAAAACTAACATAGACCGGACCCTGACAATGGCCCCATGGAAGACTATTTTCCTCTACCAACCAGTGGTTTTCAGGGTCCATGATGGTCTTCCAGTTTGTACCTTCTGGTAACATGATGTAACATGGAAGTGGATGGCAGGGATCCTTGGATTATCATGGATCTCGACAAACAAGGTGGGCCATCCACAGTGCCCTAGATTTGTGTGTCCGGAGTGTACAGTGGCAGGGTACATGGCACTGGCACCCAAAGATGTCCCTTGAAATGGGGATCCAAACCAAAACCACCAGACTTGCAGGCCCAGACGTGCCCAGACATGCCTCGGCCCACTGCCTCCCGCTTTCAGCATCCTGGAGGATTCCGGCGTCTTCTGACTGGTGCGACGAAAGTAGGGAATGAGGGTGGCTGGATCCAAAAGAATCTCTATTGGGGGCTCAGTCCCTCATTCTCTACGAGTCACAGTCAGTCTTCCTCTTTCTCTTCCTCTCCGGCGATGTCAAGGGACAAAATCCTCTGGCGCACGTGCGATAGCTTCAGCCAGGCGCTTAGTGAAGACCTAGCGTGGCCGCAAGGGTACAGGTGTCCGGTTAAAGTTTCCTAATACATATATATATATTATATGGTTAGGAATGGTTAAATATATATTAGAGGACTACTGTGCTGGTAAACATCTGTGTGTTTGCCTGCTTTGCTGGGGGATGGCCCGGGAATGGCAGAGTGTTTTAAGGCCACAAACCCTGGACCCCCCCAATCACCGCAGTCGTTCAATCAGCAAGATTACCTCTGGCTCTCGGCCTCGGTCTCAGTCAGTCTGGCTCTCGGTCTCAGTCCTCAATGATCCAAGTCATACCCTTTTGGCTGAAGTGTTATAGGGTTGCAATGTCGTGGTAGCAAGCGACAAACCAGTTGAGGAGTTGAGGAGTTGGTGCATCAAACCAGTGAGCACAGTCCCGCAAGGCGAGCGAAGCGAAAAAAACACATACGGACGCATAGGGACACAGCTCTTTTGTCCAAAAGAGGTGTTGAGGTGGAGTTTGAGATATACCGTAAACCATTGGATGCAAATTGCCCTTGGGGTCATGACAACTATACGACTCTTCTTTGCAACAGATCGCTGCACTGAGAGGGACTATATAATTACAACTAATTATATACATAAACTCTACAGGGTTGTGAGACTTATCAAGATCCAAAGTGAGATCAGGCTGATGATCAGGTACTGCAACACGACACCGGAAGGAGACTAAGTACTGCTTTATTGTAGTGCTACTACCAACATTCTGTGATGGATGTGCATAGACTCTCAGTAAAGGGTCGTCAGCACGGGAGCGAATCAGGAACATTACAAAACCCCGAAATCAACTTCTGTGGTTGCTTAAGCTGCAAGATATGTTCTGCTTGCCTAAATACAAAAACACAACTCTTGCTGCTGCCCGAGTTGAAACACTTAGCCACCACCGGCTCTTATTTACCATCATATACAGTGGTTTTGAAGCAGATGGCAAACACATTCTAACACCCATAGTGAGACTTCAGGTGACAACTTCTACTGGGATTTCAACACCACCCAAGTGGGCTCTGTGGCCATCGAGTGGGCAGATTGCACCACAGGGCCTCGCCTTGCCGTTCATCTTGCCCTTGTCCCCGTTGCGGTCAAAGCCAAGGTGGACGTCATCCTGGCCGTCGCACGTCGGTGGTGAAACGCTGTGAGCAAGGACGTTTCCTGATGAACTCCTTCCTTTGCTTCAGACCTTTCCTTTGGACAATCCAGCAACAGCACCGTTCATTGCCATCAATGCGTTAACTTTCAACTTGATACAGAACACATGCACTCAAACGCACCCATGCACGCAGCTGTGCCTACGAAGTGACTTCTGTTTCTGATTTAGGATCCCCCTGACATGCTTTTTGGTAATGGTTGGTAGGTGTTTGAGTTTGGTGAGTTCCTCTTTCTCCAAAGATATTAACAACAAGACCATTCGGCTCCTGACACGTGGCAAAAATCGGCTCCCTGTCAGTGAGATCCCCTCGCCTCCAGCACCAGTGTGGGCTCTGCACGCTTGGATGCGAATTCCCACAAGCGCCTGACGCGTTCTCCGCGATGCGACGCGCGTCCCCGAGCAACGGAGCAACCCGAAAGAACCGAGACGGGAAAAATCTACGTGGGACTGATGGACTGAAGTGCTTCATGTCCAGTGTTTGCTCGTCCAAAGACTTGGTTTGTTCGTCCATCCCAAAGTTGCCCCAGCATCCCTGATCGTCTTCCCTGTGGGAAACGAACGCTTGTTTTTCGCGGATTGTAATGAATGCCGCTTGGGCTTCCTCTTGTGCATGCCACGAGCAACTCAGAAAGTTAGAAAGGCTGCAAACAAATGACATCTATATATAGACATACTTATAGACATTAAAGATTGGTAGTCGAATTCGCATATCATATCAACAAAGTTACACCAAAAATACACATATACAGTCATATAAATTATATACATATTTATCAACAGTGCTTCAAGAAAATTACACTCCAAACAATTCCAAAGAAACATACTCCCTCCCGCAAGAGCTTTATATTAGAGTTACCTTCGGGCGTCAAACGATTGAAACTGGACAGCCTGTTTTGTTTCCCTCCAAAAAAGAAACGGTTCACGGCATGTGAAAACATCGATCGATGTGAAACACGCCATCAGTTCACCTCCTTTTCACCTCCATTAGCGATGCCCTCACTGTGAATTGATATGAATTGTGGAGCCGATCAAAAGGAAGAAACGCCGGGGCCCTACGAGTTGGACCACCATGGCCCGTCCGTGGGCGTCCTCCAGCTTCCCAGCTCGCGCCTGTGGGAGTGGGCACAGCCTCGCTCCCCACCGGACATCAGCTGAGTCTGCAAGGTGCCGTGAGGTGCGACGTCTGCTGTGCGACGTCTGGTGTGATGCAAAACTGAAAGACCTGGATGAGTTCTGGAAGACCTCCATTCTTATCATTCTTATCACATCTATGCGTCCTCTTTGGGTCTTTGAACATAGTCCATCTTCTTTTTGGACACCCCAAAAGGATCCAAAAGGATCGTCTGAAAGAAACGCACCATCGTGCTGATCAGCGGTTTCTGCCAACACCGTCCACCGTGACCCAGCGACCGGGGCGAGGCCGTCGGCCTCGCCAGGATTCAGGTACTGCTGGGCAAAGCGAAGTGTGACCTGAGTGGTACTGCCCGAGCGGATGGCACGGGAAGCAATGAAAAAGAACCGCAACGAGCGCCTTGTTAGGGATTTTTCTGAAAGTGAAGCGAACGAAGGTTTTGGATGGTTTTGGGATGTTGATACGGTATCACAGTATAAGTTCGGAAGGGTCGGGGTTCGGCAGGCAGGGTATGTTGTTTGGACCCCAAACTGTTTGTGGCGGCTGAGGTTTGTCCTTTGAACAATTCCAGCAGTGACCAAGCTGGGCCGTGACTTCACTCGGTGCCTCTCCCAGCTTTCACCAGATGTGCCCGCCTTGAACTTCTCACCGGTGGACTTCTTCTCCAAGCTCCCCGTGAAAGCCGGCTTCTGATGAAAGCTTGGAGCGTCACGGACGTAGCCTCAGATGCGGCCAAAGTTCCGATGCTCGTTGCTCCTAAACACAATCATTGTGCGGGTCCTCTTGAAGAGAGAAAACCGTGATCAGTGTGACAGGTGCAACATGGTGCAACACTCGAAACGTCACAGGTGCAACACTCGAAACGTTCGGATTCCACAGCAGCTTCCGACCGTCTACACGTCCCAGTGCATGGTTTCACATGCCCCGGGTCCCGCCCCAAATCCTCAGAACTACACAGGGAAACGACTTCGTCCTTTCTCCCTGTTGTTTACAACAATTAACATACAAACATTTTGCAGCACTATGATACACATTCTTTGGGTGCCAGGGCCCAGTGGATGATGATGATGCTTAGGTTGCAGGCTGACATCTCTAAAATAGTGATATTCTTGTTCACCGACGGTTACAGGTTTGCTGGGACAAACCCAACCCATGCTTTTGCCTTAATCAGCCTCAAAAACCTCATGCACTTCCCCATGGGGCCGCCAAATACTCACTGAGCGACTGAAGCCATCACCGTCTTCAGTGAACCTCCACTGGTCGTCCTCCTCGGGCGCATCGGCCGCCCACATCCAGGTGCTGCCATCCTGATGACGGATTTGTGGCGCCCAGGAATGGAACCGGGAAAAACTTCAAAACATACACCCAAAAAGAGACCCACATGGAACCTGATGGCACGGACCAGACTGGAAGACTCTTTTCCTCTACAACCCGACGTGGTGTTCAGGTTCCAATGTTCCTTTTCCTGGTTGTAGGTCCCAGAAGGGGATTCCCCCCTCCCCCCCTTTTTAAGAAAAAAACACCTGTGTCCCCATACGTCGCCCAAAACCGCAGATACTGGCCGACCGGTGCCGGCAGCACGCCATGGTTGGGATGGATGGAGGTGGTGGATCCGGCGCCGGATCCGGTGGAAGCAACAAGTGATTTGGGGAACAACGCAAGTGCATTGACAGTAAAAGGAACGAAATGGTTTTGCCAAATGGCTTCAAGTGGCTTGAAGTGGCTTGATCCAACAGGCACAGGCTCCTGGTAAACCCATCTGAAGAACTATGTTCATTACTCTGTTCATTCACTGGGTAGCAAGCACTGCAAATTTCCCTCTTACAGTTCATTAGAGGCTGCCTCTTTTGGCTTGAACAAGGAAGCCCGGGAAGGATGGATGGAATCTTGCTTGCAGCAAAGAAAGACTACACACAAAAGACTGCACAGGTTATGTATGTTCCTCCAAGCAGGTTCGAAGGGCACCATGGTGGGAACAAATCATGGGGAAGTCCGTGTCCTGATCTTATTCCTTCTACAGCCAGGTTGCAAGTCCAACACTCTAGGACGGTGTAAGGCCGCATCTAAAGCCATCATTACGCAACTGCTCCTGCTTTTGGAGCTTGTCAACCTTCCAGTTGCTTGAGGAAGTTTACACCTTGGCCATCCTAAACTGCATCTGTATCCCAAATCCCAAGTGGTGATTGAAAAACCTGCATGGTCAATCCATGAAACCCATTGGAAAACCAAACATGAATAATGGATAGCCATAAATCCCGCATTAAAAACGAGGCACCTCAAAGGCCCACTCGTAGAAGTCGGCAAAGTTCGCCTAGACAGTGAAGTTCATGGTCTCGTATGCAGGTACAACCAGACCCTCTGAGGCCTGGAAGTGGAGACTTGAAATCTCCCAAAGCCCATGTGGCCCCGTTCGTAGCTTCCTTTGCTCCTAGTAGCGATGCCAGGAGCCCTAGTAGCGTTCTTGTTGTTACAGCGAAGTCACCTAGAAACACCACCAGCTTTGGCCTGCTGAATGGGGGGTCAAAGCTGGGGACTGTCGGCTCGTCGAAAACGATGACGCAGAATCAAGCAGTGACGTTGACGTCGAATCGACCAGGCTTTTGGGTGTTTTGTATCAACATATATTTCAACCCGAGCCCACATGGAACTTGCCAATCCTGGCTATTGTAGTTTTTGACTTGGATCGAACCATCAAACATGATGATCTTTGTAGGGTTTATAAGGATCAAGGATCAAGGCACCTTCATCACTGGCTGATACTCATTCATCACCTGGATGTTCTGGAAAGTTCAACAATTTGTAAAGCAATACAAGTTACGAACAGTGTGGCACTTGTTCACTGCTTGGAGCTGCTTGCATTGACCAATTTGCTCATCCCTCAATTAAAAAATCCAAAAGAATCAACATCCCCTGCTGGCCACTGACCCAATCCGGAAATGTCCATCTAATATCATCTAATATACAGTACTTAATCAAGAATTGCTTACAATATTCCACCGGTTGGGGAACCACCGGTTGCACGGTCACTTTCACTTCCGACTTCCGCCACTTGGAGCCCCGGACATTCCGCGCGGTGTTCCACTTCGCCGTCACCTCCTGGGTTTGTGGGTGATGGGTTTGTGGCATTTGCCTCAGATCTTTGGATTAGCCCGAAAACCAGCGGTAGGAAATGGACAGACAAACCAGGCAAGAAAAGAAGACATCAGCGCTGAAAACCTCGTCCGAGCTCACCGGCATGTTCCGTTTGGAATTACTTTATCGCTGTTGGAAGGAGTTCCAGTTCGCCCAGAATCCCAGCAGTGACACCTGCTCTCCCCGGCCCGCAGTGGTATGGCCCGACGTGGTATGGCTGTCCCATGCGGAAATCCCTTAAGTTGGCTCAATGAATGAGGTCCACTTTCTCCTCTCTGCTGGTTCTCGTCGGTCCCTTCTCGTCAGTCCGTCCGTTCTCGGCGCCTCCTCAGGAATGGTCATCTTGGAGCCATCGGAGGCCAGAAACCGCTCGAAGTGTAGCCAGGGCAGCTCCTCGACGTGCGGGGTACTCCGCAGCGGCCACTGAAGGCCGTATGCGGTGGCAAAAACGGTGGTGATGGGTAGGAGGGGCAGGTTCTGTGGGTGAAGCAAAGCTTGTGACAGCTTGGGAGGGTGTAGGAAATGCATCGTCTTTATGACTTGTGAGTTTGGAAGGGTGTTCTTCTTGTGAGTTGGATGGCTTGACACTCACTATTGACCAGATTTGGGGTTGGTCATGTCGCAATGGCAATTGCCACGTGGTTTTGTGAAGGACTTTCTGGACCAGTGAGCCACTACTTGAATGGTTCATAGATTCATAGGTCGCCAACTCTCTGAGGACAAGAAACAATTGTTTGCATAGAAATAGAATGAAACACTCATACACAGGTATTAGGCCATCGCTATTAGGTTGGAGGCCATCGCTATTAGGTACTAGGCCATTCATACTGGGTACGGCAAGGCACTCCGAACTCAGCGACTTAGAAGGTTCAACGACTGTGAGGGTCACCGAGAATGCCCATGCCCAACAACCGTTGTGAGGCTTTCAGGAAAAGGACCTCACACGCGATTTCGGGGGCCAAAGAGGAGAACACCATGGTGAGGGTCATCTTGTCTTGTCTGCCTTGTGACCTAACCGATTTGTTTTGGCCTTGTGAGGGTCCATCTTCGCACCTCCCATCTTGGTGTGGAACCACTGAGCCCTTCCCGACCTCCGAACGCCTTTTCCATTGAAACCCCCTTTCTCTGAGTCGGTCCCGGTATGGGCTACCGCATCCTGTACGGAGCCGATGATGGTCGACCCGGCGACGGTCCCAGCGATCCTTTTTCAACATCGTCGCCACTCGCTTCCACCTGTGCGGCGACCGCCAGCGCGGCTCGGGGCGCGTATTTTGGAAGAGGTGGAAAGGCCGACATAGACATGGTGGGAAACAGTGTTTCAAGTCCGTGTTTATTACTTTTGTCTATTTTTGTTCAGCTGTGTAGATATCCGGATTTGAAGATACTGTGCCTACAAAAAGCGTACTCACCTTCCTTCCATGTAGTTCCTCCCATATTTGTGTGGCACTCTTTCCGAGTCGCTCTCGTCGATGTTTCACACATCAAGCGACTTCACCTGAACATGTTTGCCTTTCATCCAACTAATTACCAACAAGGTGGAGTTTGGATAACTTGTTTGATTCTATAGGTTTGAATCTATCAGTGCTCCATGTGTTTCTGTCTTCACACCTGTTCTTCTGATCTGTCAGATGACCAGGTTCCAAACTCATTGAGTAGTACACAGAAATACCAAAGGGGAAGACATCGACTCACTTGGGTACAGCATCCAAGTTGGTAGAGCAAAAGCAGTGGTGACTTCTGTATATTTCAGAGGAATCGTCCAAAGAGCATATCTAATATACCTGGCCTAAACAGCTGCGCATGTACTTTTACTATTCAAATGTTGTCCAGATTTGGTTGTGTCTTGGAATCTTCCCCACCTCATTACCGTTGGTGGTCTTATCTTTCTTCTACCAAGCCATTTCCAGAATTCTCACCGACCTACCAATTCCTTACAGAATGAATCCAACAGAATAGACTTATAGACCTACAAGGATACCAACTCAGACCTCCCAGAGGTACCCTTCCCATCTCGTTTCCCCTTCCCCGACCGTGTCTCCGTCCATCCGAGCGACCTATCAGGACGGCGTTCTAAATTGACCACCCGAGCCTCAAGTGCCTGGCACATCCGGTCATCGGATTTCGTGGCCGATCAGCGCGGCGCAAAGGAGACCTACCAGGCCTGGCAGCTTGTATATATATATACAGTATATATAGATCTCTTCTTTTTTTTTTCGCCACTTGGGAAGTTGGTTTGGATTGATACTCGATCCAAATCAATCTTCTAAAACGATTCGGGGCAGGATCACTTCAAGCCGCTTAACTTCTGAACGCATTTCATACACTCTCTCTCGCTCTCTCGCTCGTTCTCCCTCTGTAAATATTAATACTATACAGTAACACATACTAGTAATAATTACATACATCTATAATACATATCCAGTAATTACATGTTTCACTATTCATTTGATCATGGTTTTCATCTGACCCTTCGCCTCCTTGCGATGGGTCATCCTCTTCAGGGATCCACCAAGGCTGCAAAACCTCCAAACCAGATCCACCGAAGCTCCTACAGACCGAGGCTCCTTCAGTGATCCACAATGACTCATTAGGACTCATCATGACTCATCAGTTGAGAGGAATGGTCTTTTCCACCTCAAACCAAAATCAAACTGGATTGAACACATACCAATTGCCAATTACAATATATTTCAATATCAAGAAACTGGTTTGAGATGCTTTGAGAATCTCATCTCAAACCATCTTCTTGATGATTCGGATGATTCTGCGAGCCATTTGGATCAGGAATCTGGGTCCGGACTGACCCACATCGTCCGGACTGAACTAGGGACTTGGAAACAAAACAAAGCATTGACAAACACCCGAATTGACCATTCAAAAGGAGCAAATGCATCAGAAAGGAGCAGAACAAAGCATCCAATCGGAGATGTTCTCCGAATTCTCTACCAGAACTGAGTGTCGGTGACGCTTCCACCATCTTAGTTGGACCCGGCGAGCCGGGGCGCGAGAACTCGCTCGTGGTGCCTTCAGGGAGGCAGGCACCTGGAGGTCCAGCGGTCTACGATGTGGTGTATACATCAGATGAAAAAGAATATGGAAAAGGCAAAAGGAAATGGACATTTCAAAAGTGATCTACGTCAAATGATATCTTCAGTTCGGATTTCTTGGGGTATTTAAAGACACAAGGTCATAGCTTCATTTGCTTGGTGGATCTTGGTGGTTACAGTAAAGGAGATTGACAAGGAGAAGCCACGACAGGATTTTGGCACCACGTCTTTATTTATACACCTAATCTTTGCACAACCTCTGTTTACACCAACACATAGTCTTGCTGCAATCAGTCCATGATGCTTTGGAATGGCCGTCTCTGTGGCAATCGGGAAAATCAACCATACCCTGTCTTCAAGTGGAACGGAGTATCCATTCAAAGCGTTCAATCAAAGGGAGCAGGCCATCCACGCAATCATTCTAATTCCAGGGAGGGTCATTTCTCATGGTTTGAGGTGTTCTCTCTTTTTCGCACCTCATGCTGGCTGGATGTGTGTGCTTTGGAAGCTTCATGGATCAAAGAGTGTGTTTCGATGCGTGGCCACACCCCGCCACATCCACGAACCACATGTGAGTCACTGGTCGTCTCAGCTACAATCGTGGGGGCCCCAAGCATCAATCGATGCTGGAGCCAGGATGTCTCGCACAACGCAACTGGGGCTCTTCCCATCTTGAGACTCCACTTGTGCTTTGGAGATCGCTTGGAAATCTGGGCAAGAATCCAACAGAGCCTGAGCCTAAGTGGAACAAAGGGCCACGTCCCACGTGAAATGGCAAGAATGTTGCGCGCAAGAGCTCATTTGACCCCTCAGTCTGAATCAAATCCCTAAGTGTCTCCCCCTTCTTTCAGCGCCAGGCGCCACAAGTGCTTCTTTCGGCTTCGAGGCCTTTGCCTGGTCGATTCTCAGGCCGTCAAATACAACTTGGGAACCCGTGAATACAACTTGGTAAGGCCTCAAGATTGTTGGGTTGAAATCCTACAGAAGCCAAGGTACGGCTCGGAACTAAGAGCATGTGAAAACAAATCAACAGTCTATATAGTCATAGTGCCTTGTACGGTACGATATATTGGGCTATCGTCTCCTTGCAAGGGTATGGAATGGCTGGAACGCCAAAAAGAGTTGGTTCAGTGCTGATCCATCATAACCATCTTTCACTTTGGATTCCAATGGACGATGGATCTGGCCCGACAAAATCCCAAATCTGACATGAGGTGCTGGGTGAGGGAGCCTTTCCAGAACCCCTGATAGAGTCTTATCCACAGCCCTTAGACCCTTCATGAACTGCACCTGACAGCCCTGCAGCCCGCCTTCATCGATGTCTTGGCTGCGGGCTTCTTGATGGCTGGCTTCTTGGCAGGCGCCTCAAATGGACTGCAGGGCCGCGAAAACGCGCCCGCGCCAGCTGTTGATCTGAGCCTTGCCATAAGATCCTTCATCCAAAATATGTTGTCTGGTGGCATGGTTTGGCATCTCATGTCCTCCATCTAGTTCTGTTGCATCTGAGCTTGAAGATTTACACTGGTCATGAGTCATTAGGATAGATTCAGACATGATCAGGTGGCGTTGAGGTGAACTTCCAACCGTCACCGGGTGTCCTTTTTGTCGTGGACACTGCCTACGTCTGCCGACCCCCGCTGGGCCGTGAGCAGGCCCAAGGAATTGGGTCAAGACAGCATCCATTTGGCAAGAGATGATCATGTCACCTGTTAAGTGGCGTTCATGGTTCATGAAGCTATACAAAAACGATTCCAACAACCACCCAAAACACCCAAGGTATTATTCTATATATTACAATTGAACCAAATTTATAGACAACCACGGCACTGGTCCTGTCACTCTCAAAACCTTCGCAGCCACGTGCCATGCCTTCATCACAGGCTTTGCACCTGTGCCCGGGCACCGCGGTGATGCCGATCGACTGAGGATCCCATCGCTCCGAGAGAGTCGCTCCGACCCCAATGGCAAGAGACGACGAGGGAGACGCGCGACGACGATCACTTCTGAACATTGGAGATGTTTCTGATCACTTTTTCGGCGGCAGATCATCTCCTTTTTGTTCGGTCCTTTGAGTCCTTTGCAGAAAAAGAGGTGCCAGGATCACTTCACCACTTCACCAGATCACGTCAGGCATGGGTGTGCCTCATCTTCGATCCCACCCACACACGCCCCACGACAGCCATGCCTTTGGCTGCTTTGGCTGCCGGCTTCTTCTTCGGCGCCATCGGTAGACCAACCTGAAGAGCAAGGGAGGGTGATTCAGTCAGACCAAAGAACAGGGTGCTTGTTTGGCGTTTGCGGCATCCTTGGCGTGATTCAGTTTGCTCAATGGTCCCTTTGAGCGGACTCACCGTCCATCTTTGAATTCTGAAATGAACTGGTTTGACTCCTGCTGGCCAGCGGCAAAGGTGCCTGGGTGCCTGGACCCCAGAAGTGTCGGCTTCCTACCCTTGAGCCTACAGCTAAATGGATTGGTCGTGACTGGCCAACATGTTCCTTTTTGTTGAATGTTCTCATTGCCCTCAAAAAATTGCCAACTTCAAAACCAATTGGCCGTGTCCTTTTGTTTTTTCCAGATTTTTCCAGAACCATTTAGTCACCAAAGAGCGCCGGTTCTGTCTCGCCAAGGCCAGTAGAACTGCATCCGCTGCCCACGCAGCAAGCGCAATCCAGACTCAAAGGAGAAGCACCGTTCGCCAAAGCCAGGGCGCAACTTGTTATTTAATTCCTTGGGTCGGGACACCATTGGGACAGTGCGATGTGGATCACGTGGGAAAACCTCGACACAATTGAAAACTGGCCAGCTGCGTTCTCCAATTTTCTCTCCAACCAAGAAGAATAGGACACCTATCTGACCTTTCATGCCCCGCGCTGCCCTTTCATGCTCCCAGGGGGTGGAAGGATCTAGAAAAAGCCGTGCGACAGGTCCAAGTTCTCTCGTCTTCTTCACTCTTCGGAGTTGGATCTGTAGACTCTTGAACTTCAAGACACCCACCATACTTCAGGTGTACGAAGTGCTTTTACAATCCAAATGGGAGGGAGGGGGGGCCGATCGGCCCGGTCCTCCGACTTGGAAGTACACGTTTCGCATAGTTTGCCCCGTCGCCCCGTTGTGCTAAGCATGGCACACCGTCCGTTTCGCGCAGTGCAAACGTTGGGGCATGTGAAAGATCAATGCATAATACACTGAGTCCAACTCCGTCCGTCTCCGCGTGGCCTTTTTGGGTTCGATCCAACTCCAAGCAACTCAGCTGGGCTCTTGTGGCCTAATGGATTGACAGAACTGCGAGCTTCATGTGAATCCAGTGGGTGGGTCAGAACCTGCCCCACACTCCCACTCAACATACACATCTGCATACGGGTATCTTAAACGCGCAGGAAAGAACACGTTATCTGGTGATGTTCATGAACCCACCACTGATGTAGTAGCTGTGATCCATGGAGGACGTGTGACATGGTCACAACTAGGGTTCATTGAGGCTGAGCACGGAGGAGAATTGATGTTGACCATGCCAAAGTAGAAGTTAGTATAGAATGTGCTTATATAGATCTGATTGGCTTATATAGATGTGTAAATAGATTCCTATCATCTCAGGTACCGGGGCATTGCCAAAACCGAAGCGTTGACATCGAAGATACCCATGACCCCCATGGAATAACACGCTGCCGGGCATACCAATGAATTTATGGCATTAATTTTATACTACAAGGATTTCTTTAATTAAACTTAATGCCCAATAATTAAATATACGGGTGGCATGGGTTAGCAACATATCCGCTACACTGTGGTCTACAACCTGGTGGCCACACTGCGAGTCATAGTGACCAATCCAAAGCCGATTATCAACAGTAAACTGCTCATCTGCATACGTAATTACCAACGAATTGCAGATCGTTTTCGCTACCTGTGGTCCTCCAGAAATGTCATTTGTGCCAAATACTGATGAAAAAGGTCCCATCTGATCAGTGATCCGACTCCGTATGTCTCCCGACTGCGCTTCATGATGCTCTCAGTGCTCCGAAAAGCTCACCGCGCTCCGAAGAAGCGCGGACACGCCGAAGCAAGGGCTCAAATGCATGTGGTCACCTGAGGTGCCAACGGAGTTGGGTGTGCCTAATGGAGAGCTGACAAATGGATACAAATGGTGAAAAATGGAATACCACGGTTTGACCCACATCTTTTTGTAGCTTTGCATCACTACTTGACATGTCAGTAATTAATGAGTCTTCAAGAGCACAGCTGCTTCAGGTGACAAAGGAACTCAGAAGTGGTCCGGAAAGTCTTGATGCCTGGTGTCATTTCTCACCTCATCTCATCTTACCTCAAAAAAAACAACTCGGATCTGGCATCAGGACGCCATTGGCACATGATATCACCACGATATCATCACTCTCACTCCATGAGAGTCTGAGAAGTATGAGAAGTGTCCTAACAACGTGGTTGTTCTCGGCCGGTGATGGGTTTCCATCGCGTGTATCCTATTCCCTGGGCCCAGTGGATGATGACGGCTCAGTTGCATGCCTTTCCCTAAAAGAGTAATGTTTTACAGCAGGTCACTTCGGACACCCCTGGCCCGTTTCCAGAAAAAAGAACAATACTTGCTTCTTCTCTGCCATGTCATCATCTACCGTCTCTACCTCGAGTGGGAACCTTCCCCACGTCACGTGTTGGGAAACCCACGTGTTTCTTGACCGACGTCACCGATGAGCGACCAAAGCGTCCCTCGGCGACTCTCGTCCGGCCGAAACGGACGTCGAAACGACGTGCGGAACGACGCGGACGTCCAAAGAACGACGTTGGAACCCGATGTGTGGAACGACTCAGTCTGTACCAGATCCGACCCATGGGACTGCCAGTCCGGACCGCCGAGAAACGGCCAGGGGTGGTTGACTTGGGGGTCAATGGGGCGGCATATATATGGCATACATGGAACAGCAGTCTATACCAACCTGTGGAACAGCATATTGCCATGCCCAACTGGCCGAACACGCAGTTGCAAAACGACATCTGTGGACAGCAGAACCCACGATGACACCGATCCTGGACAGCAGGACACCGATCGGTGCAAACGAAACTGCATCCAAGCGACACGAAAATGGATTGGCACTCCCTTCTCCGTGCAATCGATCAAGGAGCCTTGCAACAAAGGCGGAGTACTTCCCAAAAGAGTTGGAGTTGGCAGCTGATGCCATTTGTGAATTGCACATTTCAGGGATCCTACTATAGTTTGATGTTTAGGGATGCTTTTGGAATGGATTGGCATTATTGGTTTGAAATGGCTGCTATAGTGACTATAGTGGATAACAAAGGTTCTGTTTAAACAATGCATTGCATGCTCTGTATCTCGTTCAAACCGACCCATACTTTTATGACGTGTATGGAAGCTAAGAAGAGGCAAGAAAGCAACCAGTGTGGTAAAGCGTCTTGGGTATAGAAGGCATCGGTATTGCATGAATCAGTATGCTGCATCTATGCAGAAATATCTTTTAGGGATTCACTAACAAAAAATGTCATACAAGAAACAAAATTCCCTATGTTTCACTGTGTCACTACAAAGAAAATAACCATACACAAGCATTTCGTTCTGAACACGGTCTAGAACAGAAACAACTCAAAGAGCCTTTCAATTCGGCTATGGCGAAAAGTTCGATCCTCTTCCCGCGCCTACACCCCAGCCAAGCCAATCGGGTGATTCCGGAGCGCACCAATAGCTGGCAACGTTCCTGAGTTGACCAGCGTTTTTCCATGAATTCAAGCGCGGTGTTTTGTTTTGAAGCCCCCAAGAAAATGGTTGAATCATCTTGAACATTTAAAACCAATTTTGGGTTAGGTCCGGTCTGAGACTTAGATGGTTCAGATTTGGAGTTCAAGACTTTGTGATGAAGCTTGACAGCGAGTTTCCTTTCTTTGCGAGTTGCTTTCTTGGAAGCGCGAATCTGGCGTTTCGAAAAGACAATATAGCCGGTGTACTAACCGGTGTAAGGTTATAAATATAATATATAAGCGTCAATGTTGCACAAAATTCATGATTCTACTCAATGATGTTGGTCGCTTGTGCAAGAATTGCCATATTGAGCTTGACATTGCAATGCATGGCTTCAAGCATCAATTGCATTTCTTGTAAGCAGGTTTGCATGATATGCATGTCAAAAAATGATGGAGGAAGTGAGGCAATTCTTTTTGAGAGTATCCTTGACCTTGGTTTGTTTGAAAAACTCACCGCAGTTCACTATATTCTTGGCATACCTGTGATCACAACTTGGCTTTGCGGAGGTTTGGTTGAATTTGGTGGGTTTTGGACGACATGTGGGCACAACAGCCGCCAAACAAAGCAAAGTGGGGTTTGAAGCCTTGGCCAAAATATGTGTGTTGAACAGCACAATGAAAACAGCAATGCCACACAAGAAGGATTATGAGAAAACCCAAGGATGACAAATGCGCAAAGGTTTCAAAGTTTAAACATGCATGTATCTGAGAAGGTTTAGACTTGCTGTTTTCACCAGGTCAAATGTGGCATGGGATCTGACTTCGCCTGATTTCGCCTGGGATTTCACCTTCAAATCTTCCCCAAAAAAAACAAGCTTCCTTGGCAGTGAAAGTAGCTCACGCTCAGTTCTGAAAGGCTATCAGCGACTCGTGAGCCGAACGCAGCCAGGATGCTTGGTGGCCGCGAACGCACGTGTGCGGGTGCCATTGGGATTGATGGTCCAGGAATGCTCCTGACGCAGGCGAAACACAACGCCCGAAAAAACGACGAAAGCGTTTGGTCGGGCGCGTTCGGAGGTATCGGAGCAGGAGCGACCCAAATCCAGAAGTCTGGGGGGTGACGTCATAGTGGTCCCCAAATGGATAGAAGCAGTTTTCCATTACATTTTGAAAGGGATGTTACCTTTCTATCTATTTGAAGGGGAGACTTAGAAGCATTAATTGAAATCTTGGGTGAATCCAAAGGACCCTCTGAAATACAGAATGGGCAGCTAAATGTAAATACAGAAGCTGGGATCAATCAATCCAATTGTGTAATGTTATGCATGTGTGGGATTTCGTGGGATGTCTGCTATGACATGTTCTGAAACTAGGGGACAAAGGTTTAGCAAACAAAAAGTCACCCTCCAGCGGCTGTTCTCCTCTATGTAACGGGCCACTTCACCTGGGCGTGCCGCCATCCAGCAATGTTCATGGCTTTGCAGGACATGAGACGATCGCGAAGGCATGTTGGATGGACGCATGTTCGTTGCATGTCGCCTCTTCGTAGCCCTCAAAAAAACCATGTTGGGGGATCTGGTGCCCACAAAGAAGGATAAGTTGGCTGAGGGAAGGGCTGCCTTGCCCCCCCAGTGCATATGTGGGTCATAGGTCATGCACGTGCTCCGCAAAATCGCGCAAACAGGAGCTCAAAGGCGAGCGACCCCAGCAAGAACCTTGGGAAAGGAACACAACATGCCTCTAAAAAACACACAAGAACCCCTTAGCTAGACATCCACCACTTCTTGGTACAGACTTTTGGAACACCAGATTCCATCCAACTCCGAAATGCTTGGACGGGGCGCTGCTGCAACTCCTGATGCTCTCTTGGGTAGCAAAGAAGTCACAGGCATAACCTGAGCGCCATGATTTGATGGGCAAAGCCTGTAGCAGTCTGTTGAGTCTGTTGCCTTTGAACAGTTATTTTTTCCACGGCTGTTTTCCTGCAAAGAGCTCATGCCGTGCATTTTGTGTTTTTCTACTTCTGCTCCTTCCCAGAACTCCAGTATACTCCAGTTCCCACCAGGCATGCACATGTTGACCGGAGACCCGCATCACGCCGCCCCACCGCGACACAGTGCGGTCTCCTCCCAGGCACGTGTGCTGGCATGGGCCTTGCTGGGACAACTCGCGACGGTAAAGCTCAGCTCGGCCGCAGGGTCCAAACACCTCGCTCCGGGCGGATTGCAAGACGTCGGTGTAGGAGGCAAGGAGAGGACGCGACCGGTTCCAAGCAGTAGTTTGGTGGTGTGTGTTTGTTGACCGATATTTCCCCAAACAGTTTACTGTTAGGGTTCTCAATTCTTTCTTAAGATGTGTCCGCCCTTTGTGTCACTGTTGGTGTCCGCCCTTTCTGCTGGCCACGTAGCATTTCTATTCATTTGTCTCCCAGGTCTGTCCCTGCTGGTGTCCGTCCTTTTCCGTTGGCCATGTAGCATTTCTAGTCAGCGATGCAGGATTTCTATTCATTCCCGAAGCAGTTTACTGTTAGGGGTTCTCAATTCTTCTTTAAGATGTGTCCGCCCTTTCTGTCGCTGCCGGCCCTTTTCCGCTGGCCATGCAGCACTTCCTTGTCTCCCTTCTGTCTCCCTTTGTCTCCGGTCTTCTCTCCCTTCTTGTTGGTCACTGTATCTGTCTGTTTCCTTTTGTCTCCCTTCTTGTCTCCCTTCTTGTTGGTCACTGTGTCCGCCTTGTCTTCCTTCTGCCTCCCTTGTCTTCCTTCCGTCCCCTTTTGTCTCCCTTCTTGTCGGTCATTGTGTCCGCCTTGTCTCCCTGTTTGTTGGTCATTGTGTCGGTCTTCCCTTCTTGTCTCTCGTCTTGTCTCCTTGTGGGTCACTGTGTCCGTCTTGTCTCCCTTCTTTTGCTTTTGTATCCCTTTCTGTTTCGTTTTGACTCCCTTCTTGTCTCCCTTGTTGGTCATTGTGTCCGCCTTGTCTCCCTTCTTGTCTCCCTTCTTGTCTCCCTGTGTCTCCGGTCTTGTCCTCCTTCTTGTTGGTCGTTGTGTCCACCTTGTCTCCCTTCTGCTTCCTTTGTCTCCGGTCTTGTCTCCCTTCTTGTTGGTTAGTGTGTCCGTCTTGTCTCCCTTCTGTTTCCTTTTGTCTCCCTTCTTGTCTCCTTTCTTGTGGGTCATTGTGTCCGTCTTGTCTGACTGCTGTTTCCTTTTGCATCTCTTCTTGTCTTCCTTTATGTTTCCCTTCTTGTTGGTACGAGTAATTATATTTACCTTGTCTCCCTTCTGCCTCACTTTGTATCCGGTCTTGTCTCTCTTCTTGTTGGTCCGTGTGTCCGTTTGGTTTCGCTTCTGTTTATTGTTGCCTCCTTTTTTGTTGGTCATGGTGTCCGTCTTGTCCCTCTTCTGTTTCTTTTCGTCTCCCTTCTTGTTTCTCTTCTTGTTGGTCATTGTGTCTGCCTTGTTTCCCTTCTGTTTCTTTTCATCTCTGTCCGTTTTGTCTCCCTGTGTTTCTTTTTGTCTCCCTTTTTGTTTGTTATTGTCTCCGTCTTGTCTCCCTTCTTGATCTTCTTGTTGATGTCTCAAAAAGTGGACTTGGGAATGCTTCGTTGTTGTCTAACCTGTTTGGGGTCTACGGCGGTGTAATTTGTTTGTTCCAGAAATCATGCAGTTCGATCCCCTGTCAAAGAACATGCATTAGAAACATTTGCAGCAACCACTCTTGAGCGGTTGTTGAAACTAAAGAACCCCTGTGGGCAGCTCAAGGGACAGCAAGGGGCGTGCAGCATCCCTTTGTGACGGTGGTGTGATGTGGCTGTGGGTATCCCAGGCCCCCCCACTCTCAGGGTTCCCATCTTAAGCGACTGATCGCATCCGAGGGGCGATCAAAGCTTACATACGGTTTTTTCTCATGGGTTTCTCGGTTTCTCGTCCCCTTTTGAAGACAGATTGGAATCTTTGATTACACCACCAGCGAGGGTCATGCCACCCATGGGAAGGTTTAAGCAAAAGAAAAGCCATGAGTCCCTCCGATGTGATTTTCTCCGGCTAATGGTGAATCATCATGGCCATTTCTTCCGTGCCAACCGACATCTTGAGTCAGCTGAGACACGCATAGCGGTCGGAGGTGGGTTCCAAAGCCTCATACCTGGGAAGAAGATCCAACGAGCAAGGGAGGAGCTGGGACGTCTTATATACGGCTACATAATCCTTCCAGCACCAAGAAGGTGCTTAGGTACTGTGACTGCGGGTTGAGATGTGCCCCAAATCTATAATTGATGGGGTGCAAAAACGGTGGCGCCAGTGGCAGGTAGTAAGAAAGTAAGGAGGTGATTCTAAGCGTATGAGACGGTACCCTACATCATTGTCAGTATAAATGTCATATAAACTTCCTCACTCACTCTGAGGCCATCTTGGGGTGTCGTTCATGTTGTTAGTGCTATTGCTCATTTCAAAGTTTGGCTGTTCCACAGCCCTCCACGGGGCTCGGCTCACCAGAACTCTTCCCACAAGTACCAGTCGTCTGGTCCGACTTGATCAAGTGAAACACGACTCGGGGACACCTTCATGCTACACTCGGGCTCAAATGGGTCAAAACGCATGCTACAATGAAACTGGACTTTGTCTGTTTAGAAGCATCCCCCGATCATTATCTTTATTACATGAACATGGTATCTATAGTCTAGTAGCTGAAATTGCGTCTTCTCCTGCCGCACCTGCCCTATGATTTCATTATATTTCATTAGAACCCTCAAGGGTTCCCGGCCTGCTGGACATGGAGAAGCCAGACCAGGACGCATAGTTGGGATGGCCCGCCATCGGAGCGCCCACGCCGGGCCAGTCTCCATTCAACCTGGGTTTCACACTGCACAAGTTCCATTGACCCTGGAGGTCCATTCAACCATGTCTTCGGTTCATTGGTTCACGAAGACTCGAGGTCTCGACGTCGAGTTCGACCCCCCCAAAATGAAGAGTATGTCCAATTCCCATGGGAGGGTTGATTCATCAAGAGTGTACATTATGAGTTAGTTTATAATGTTTATAGTTTTTTAGTATGACAATGATTTGTTCGGTAAAGGCTATCTGAAAAAATGGTGGGCCACGACTTGGTGTGGGCAGAAATTGACGTGGACTTCGTGCGTTACTAGTGTGTAGACGTTCACCTCTGACCTCGAACAACTCATTCCACGCAATGGGAATGAGGAAAATGTGTTCCCACGAGCCCCCACACCCATGATTTACTTGAGATCACTTGAGGGTGCGTTCGCACTCGGGTGCATTCGCACGAACCCGGTGCGTTCGCACGAACCCGGCACCCTGGCCAGGACGCGCCACGCGCTGTCCACCCGCCACGCGCCAGATCCACCCCATGGATTCCAAGGTGCTCGATGAAGTCGGTGTAGGAAGGACCATCCACGAAACGCCACGAGATCCTGCGATCTCTGCGGATCTGGCGACCACGCCAGCGATGTCCGTCGCACTTGGAACAAGCTGGGGAGAAACCAAGCGGGGAAAGCGGATCTCGGGCAAGAACGTGACGGACAGAAGTGACATAATATGTCATCATCAGTTGAATCATAAGATCTTGTTTGGTGTTTTAGGTTCACCTGCCAAGTCCTCCTGCCAGAAATCTCATACATGTCCACTGATCCTCCCATGGGCAGAAGCTTTGGTGGCGAAACATATCTTCAGCTGGGTGCTGGGATGTACTGATCTTGGGATCCACATACTGAGAAGGTATGACAGGACCTCCAAACCAATTGGGGCACCTTTTAGATACTGAGAAGCTTCTCTCACCTACCTGAGAAGGCATGATTGGACCTCCAATCCTACATGTCTAAACGTGCCTCCACTCGGTGTGGATCCGTAGGGACTGATCGACGGCTTTTCCACGGCGAGTGACGAGTCTGAAGGTCGACAGAGATCTCTGAGATCGGTGTAAGGTTTGCACAAACCATTTCCCACCCAACGAATAAATATGCAAAACATGGCAAAAACCTCCAAATTGACAAGACATGACAAAACTCATGTTGCAAGGCTTTATCAACCTTAATCCATCTTCATCCCACCAAAAGCCTGATCTGATTCACTTATGATTATGATGCATTCGCAGAACACTTTGGATGTCATCGAAACCGAAGAACCCGGTCTGCTCTCCCGCTCTGCCGCGCGCGAACAAACACACTCCTCTGCAGGTTGCTGCTGCGAGAGTGCTTGACCTGTTCGTCCCACATCGCACATGCGCCCCATTAAACAGAGTTCAACAGCTGCTTGTTCATTGGTTGCTGGATTCTGTCATTGAGAAGAGCTAGATTTGGGATGAGTTGGATGTGTATCTGATCGGTGCATTCTATTCCAAAATTCCAAAACGTCTGCTCTTTGTCTACAACCCCCTCAAGACTCGACCCAAAGACGTCCCCCCCCGCCCCCACGCCCGATCTGCACCGGTCGCGCTGCACCTCCTTCGCCTGGCGAGGCGGAATGGTCACGTTCCAATCAGCCAAGAAGATGGCCTCGACCGACGAAAACCACCCGAGGGGCGGAGAAAGGACCAGCGAGTGGGTGAAACGCCGCGGAGTGTGGTCACAGGGGGCGTCCTTCTCTGCATGTTCATAAGGCCACTTTCGATGTACATGTTGCTTCATGGATATCGAGTAGCCTGACGAACGAAGCTTTTTTGTTTGAAGTGGAGGGAAGGTTCTCATGAGCTGTTCGCTTCATGAGCTGCTCATGTTCACTTCATGGAGGGCAATTTGTCAAACCTCATTTAGCTCACGAGATTGAGAACAAATCCTCCTTGAACGAGATTGAGAACCACTGATTCGGGGGCCTTGAAGAAAAGTATCGTATCACCGTGAAGATGTCCTGCAAAGGTTTCCCCCCCCAAAAAAAAAAAGAAAGAACCGTCGCGCCCAGATATTCCTCTACCAGTCACATGTCCGGGTGGTGTGGCTCGTCCCATCCAGTGAGTGGAGTAGCTGGGCACCCCGACTACCTCCATGAAGCACCCCACCTTGTGACTCCTGGTCCTTGCATTTTCACACATGTGCTTTTTACCTTTCCTTCGACCTTCCACCAAGTCGGCCTTCTCCTCGCATTGGTTCACAAAGGAGAACTTCTCGACCTCGCATTGGTCCGGGGGGGGTTGTCCTGGTGTATACCCGAATCATCTCCAGTATACCGTTGGTTACGGCGTTGGATTCCTTGAGAAGTAAACCTAGGGCCCGAACTCGCCACCCTTATGGAGCGGTCATGAGTGGTCAGTGGACCTAAAGTGAAAGTGATATTTGCAAAGCAAAATCAAACTATAAAAATCTATAAAAGAGAGTGAAAACAAATGATGAGTGCACACAATGTAATTCGTTATTTGTCTTTTTTGTAAACATTTGTAGATATACCTAACCTACTGATGCTCTGTTTGCATAATCCTGTACTGTGTGTCAATACTGTTTTCTTCATGAGTGATTACGTATATAATATATATATATTTCCCGATCGTAGTTCAAACGATGCAACACTTCTGCATGCTGCACACAGCATGCACACAGCATAGGCGTCGCCCTTGGCCCAACCGGTGAGCACTGTATTCGCTCACCAGCTCAGCTTTTTGAATCCCCTCAACCGAGTGCCCGCTCGACCTTACTCCTAGCGACCATTGAAGATCCAGCAGCAGCAAGCAGCGCCAGCTCGGCCATGGCCAAGCACAAGCAGCGCAAGGAGGCCATGAGATTTCTTTTCTGTTCGGCCACGGGGGCCCCACGGGCTTGGCTTCGAGGCGTTCGAGGCGACCTTCACATCCAGTCCCAGTGGGGGAACTGTTGGGGTCCTGGTCACCCACGTCGTGGCGTGCGAAGAGACTTGTCGTCAAAGCACGGATGAACCGAGTCTGGGTCCTTTTTCGGGTCCAAAGCCATGCAAACAATGCTCCTGAAGAGGGCCGTTTGAAGCCAACATCTGATTTGATCCTCCCTCTATTGATTCTGATCCGCTACTTGTGTCTAAATGAGGTGTCTCTTGCCGTGCCTGACATCTGACTACATGCTTGGCTTGAAGTGCACGAAAACAGCATCTGGTCACAGTCAAGCTGTCAATTCTTAGCTGCAAAGGACACATTATATGATATGGGTTCACCTGCTCCTTTGACTGAGACACGGAGCTCAAGGGAATTCAAGGGATCTTTGTTCAAAGAGGAGAAAAGTTTCTCCCAATGACCACCGGGAACCCCCAGTTCCTTCCTTAAAGCTGATGGTGTTCCACTCAATCATCTCAAATCAAGTGTTGCCGGATTGACAACCAATTCATCATTTCTAAAGCCTGCTTCTGCAATGGCCTGAATGAAAGGGCCATGTTTTTTCCTCACCCACTGAAACTGACAGATCCGCGGCGGCTAGCCGCAGGTTTCTCCGTCGCCGGCGGCCTGCAGAGGCCCGTCACCCGCGGACGGTTTGAGAGTAGGTTGCCGCCTGACTCTGGTCATGGTACCCAAACTGGTACCCAAATAGTTCGTAACCCTTCTGTTGATCCAGACTTCATAAAGAAACTCCTCCATGACTCCATCACCCGGTCACATGCGCACTTAACTCGCACAGCTCCGCGAAGGGTTTTTTTTGAGGCATCTGCTGGGACCCTTTGGTGCGGACCTCAGTCCTTCTGTCGGATTGTATGTAGAGAGAAAGGTATGGAAAAAGAGGAACCCACGGAACACTGACTGGCATCTGAGAGCTATATTTCAAAAGGATTCAAAAGGGACATGAATCTGCGAACCGGTCTCACAAACTAGACATGTCAGACGTGCTATACTCTGCTTTCCACTTCGACCAACCCTCTGCCTTCATGAGTGAAAAGCCTACAAACCGATTCTACTCAGAGAGCTGATCGGAGGCGTTGGCTCTGAGAGTTGATCTGAACAGGCTCCCGTGAGGCAGCAGCCTGTGGTATGCTGCGTTGTTCACTGCTGCCTCACTGTCGTTTTGGGGGGGCAGTTCTCCCTGGTCCCTGGCTCCAAACCGACGGCGCTCCAAAAGGATGACGTTCCGAATGACCAAACTGGTGAAGTGAACTCCATGATTTCGGATGATTTCACGGGGGGGATCGTGGGTTCCAGTTGGTTTACCTGTTCGCAAGGAGCAAGTGTCCAAGGATGTCTAAAGCACCAGAACGGAAACACCATGAACACCTCATCCCTGCTCCATCGAGACAAATCTTAGCCCTGCCTTCAGCTCCTCCAGCATGCTAGACGCTCAAACCAGTTGCTCATCGTCGTCGCTCCTGCAAACAAAATCAAACATCGTCGAACCTCAAACCCTAGCAATCTCGCTCTTTCTTTTGTATTACTCGAAAATTTAGGCTATACCAAAGAGGGGTGCTATGACTGGTGCTACAGTATCTTTAAAACAAACTCGTTTTGTAACTTTTGTATAGTTATAGCAGCAGTATATATACAACACTAGCAATACAACATAGGCTACAATCATACAAAATAGCCTATTGAAAAAACTATAATTGGCTAATAGGTCATCGGGATGTTGCACCCCTTTCGGCTTCCGACGCCCGGAAGCTCCGTCAGGCGTCCTTTCGGCTGCGGCTACGGCTGGTGCGCCTGCGGCTGCGGTGCTACGTGTGGTCGTCCGATGACCGATCAAACGCCCGCTTGACCAAACGCACAAAGCAAAGGGAATACGGTCCAAATAGAATACGTGCATTGCATAACGACATCCGGTCCCTTTTTTGGGGAAAGCACAGCAGTCCTCCTGAGTCATTGTCCCAGAACTTGTGGTAGCGGTAGAGCCAATTCCCACCCAAAGCGCAGTGGATGACGATGGGGCCTAATTGCAGGCCTGTCCATCTCTATAAAATAGTAATAACACGTAATAACGACTCAATGACCTGTCACATCCTTTTACCGGCTTCACAGGTCATTAATGATCTAAGACTTCCCGCGAGAACTGATCGAAGGCTCCCCCGAGCCCCTCGTGAGTCCAGGAGCTCTTCCGCCGCACGGCCTGGAGCTCCGACCGACCTCCCGTCCACCTGCCCTGGCCGCTGTTCGCCGGTGCTTTGGGGGGGTCCAGCATCCATCCAAGAGACCCGCCAAGATCACCCAAAGAGAAAAACCATGCTCAAGGATGCATACAAGTACATGCATACTTCAGCGCATGCAAGTAACCATTCAGCCATACACCCCAAGAGTTCCATATACCCGCTTGTCAAGAGAAGATATGATTCGGCTGCTGGGGAGTGTTTTGTTCTGGGAAAGGTGCAGCTGGATGTTCGGACCAAGTCCTTGGTCTGAAAGAGACCAGGAACTTTGTCTTGGTTGCTGGCCTCATCTGACCAGGACGATCGGTATGTATAGGGTAAGTTAGGCTTCCTCCATTCACCAACCCAGCGCGTCTCGTGTCTTCATCTCCCCAACAGGGCGACAGGTAGGGGTCTGACTATGGCTGATTCCCCCCTTTCCCACCCCAAAGACCTGTGGAACAGTTGGAACCATCGGTATCCACCTCCGAATCCTGACCATAAAACCAACTCGGAATCAGCTACGCCAACTGCGTCTCCCAACTGCAACCAACTCGTTGGACCGCTGCGAATCCCTTCCGTCCCTGGACTGGTTGAAGAACTGCCTAAGACTGTACAACAAGTCATTTGTGGACCATGCTTACCCCAAAACACACACACACAGAAAGACAAGTTTAACATGTTTGTTTGCAAATGGATCAAACTCATGCCTTTCACTGTGTCGATTACATTTGGGTATAGATCATGTTTCAAAAGAATGTCCTGTACTTTTGTTCAAGGTCCCATTCCTTTCTGCTTCTCACCTTGGCGTCGGAGCTTCCTCCTTCTTCCGATCCTTCGTGGGCAAATCCTGCGTCCAAGTTTTCCCCCAAAGCTGCCCACAGCTGTGGGAGGAAAACGTGTTTTTTTTTTCACTTTCTTTTTTTTTTTCGCAAAATAATGTTCTGAATCACTGTAGGGATCTGTCTTTTGATGTCTTTTGGTATAGTATAGGGGATGGTATAGGGGTAGTTCTGCAAAAAAACATATGACTCTGACCCAGAAAAGTGTCAAAATTTCTTATGCTTTGAAGCTTGAAAATGTCTCGTCACTGGCCGGAAAAAAAGTAGTCAAACGGTGGTCTAGCACGGCCAACGAGGCCGTCCGGGCATCCATCCTGATTGCTTCAAAAATGTGGGACTGAAGGATCCAAACTCCGGTGGGCAAGCCCTCAAGTGGCGAGAAGTCCCTTGCGGCTCAGCCTATAAACCATCCTATATAATCCTATACATTATATATACCTTAATTTAAACTTTAACTTCAAGAAAAACCCAGACGTGACAGGGCAAGAAGGCCTGACATGGCCTCAACGCGCCAGGCCTTACGCGCCACGCCACACCAGCAAGTTGTCAAGTTCAATGTCTTCAACACACGACAATGCTGCCGGCAGTGCATCCGGACGAATTCTATGAGAGCCCGACTTATATATCCGGTCTGTTGAAACGACTTAACTCTCTTAACATCTCTTAACTCCTCTGTAAAAGGATCAACTTCACCGTTTTCTTTTCGACCTTGAACTCCTCAACTTCTCACCTCACCCATCCTCACCACCGCACGTCACAAAACGCTCGTTCGCTCCTCCACCATGCGAACGCCAATCTTCCGGCCTTCGAAGGTCCGGTGGTTCCTTCGGTGCGGGGCTCGGGGGTGGAGCCCAGCAATGTGCTGGCCGTGGTTCGGGTGCCGCGCGTCTATCGACATGCAAAGACCAAACGAAATCAACACGAAATCAGCAAACATCAGCGACATGTTTCACTCACCCTTCGCACAATGTGGATGTGAGCATAGGGAGACGCCCCCACTTCGACCTCCCCTTTTGAAGGACAGGTTCATCAATGAGTTCGACCCAAATTAATGATTCTGCACGATTCCACAGTTCGACCCGAAATTCAGGGAGTTCGTGTGTCACCTCTTCTTCCATGATTTTATCCTCCTCTTTCCCTTTGACCTCTCCCTTTAAAACCGCCCAAAAAAACCCACCGTCGTCCGAGATGAAACACTGCCGCCCTTCGTCCGCCAAGCGTCATCTCGAGGATGGCATCGTTGGCGTCGCGCTTCTCCTCGTACTCCACGAAGGCCACGGTCTTGCCCTCCGGAACCTGCCGGTGACGTCGGTGACGTTTGAGAGGAGACGAGAAAGACATACGGATCGGATACCTACCAGGCGGATCAAACATGCGTTTTGTGGAACCAGGTGGTGGGATTGCAATGGGAAAGTGGATCAGAACCATGGTTTTGTGATGCGCAACCTTTGGAGGGGCAATGCATGGCAATGCTTTGCGCAGGTGTTGCAGTGTTCACATGTAGGGCCTAATGGCACTCAATGACATTCATTCCATGACTGGATCTGAAGAGCACAAGACCCAGTAAACAGCCTGGTTGAGATCTTGAAAAATGCATTCCTAGCTGTTTCAATAATGACTGTAGAAGGCCGAATCCCCTTGTTGTAATATGTTGTAATAAAAAAAAGAAAAACAACACACCCATGACACAACGTTTGGTTCATTTTGGAGCTCAATTTTTAGGGAATCCCCGCACTCTTCTCTTTCTTGACCCGCTCCCAGAATTCTGGACCCTTCCCATCCTTGGATCCTTTAGCCTCCGCTCGCTGAACGATGCCACAGGTTTTCTCCTCTCTCCTCCACCCAGATCCGCGCGCTTCTGCTCCACGATGCGGAGCGCCTCGATGCGGATGATGCGGCCAAAGTCGCCAAAGGCCTCTTGCAGCGCGGTCTTCTTGGTCCGTTCGGTCACCCCGGTGACCGCCACCGTGCTCCTCGGGGACGCGAGCAGCGAGAGAGGTGGGCACGCCGTGCTCCGGCACATTAGGGGCGGTGCCAAGGGAGGGAGACGCCTTCTGCCTGAGATGTGTGAGATGAGGACTGATGAGGTGGGCACGTCTGAAGTGCAGGATGTCAGTAAGGTTGCTCAGCCATGATATGACCAGTTAGAGTGCTGTAGAAGAAAAAAGGGTTCAAACGATGATATATAGTTATTTCAGGTTCGGTTCGATTCTGTTTTCCCACATGATCAGTTAGCAAGTCACTGCATGTTCTATAAAAAAACAAACCTTGCGCCATGCAAAACCTAAACGGCTTCACCCATACGTCCATGCCACTGCCCTCCCGCCGAACCCAAACCGGTCGGAGCGCTTTCCGCCGAGCGTCTCCGGCTTCCAAGGACGCCATCCTTTGCCACTGCCCTCCGCCGGGAAGTGACGACCGAGACCGAGACAGTCGATCCGGAACCAAAACGGAGACAGTCAATTGTTCCGAGCTGAGTTTGGTAGTTACAAGACTGAGTTTCCGTCTGAAACAAGTGTGAAGTCTTTTGAAAAGAACTTGCATGGCATGGGTTGTGATTGTGATGTTTGGTCTAATGAAACCGGGATCAACCAAAATGCTCGTCTTTTTGTACGGCCACAGGGCAGAATGTCAACAATCGCACTTCTCATTTCTGCAGCCAACACTGCTTCCACTTCCAGTGTTGACGGGTGCAACTGCGTCTGCAACAAATCGACGGACAAATGAACGATGTTGTCATTGTCGATCAGGCTCAAACCCAAGCACTCCATCCATAATGCTATGCAGAATCTTCTCCTACATTGACCCCAACCTTCAACCACCCCAACAGATGTAAACATGCCAGTCCCAAAAACAGGTCGTGTTTGGGAAAGACCGAGGTCACCCATGGGTGTGACGTCCCCAAACAGATGGTCTCTGTGGCCAGCCCCTGTGTTTCGCAGACACGTACGTCCCCACACCCCCACCCACACACACTGAAGCCATGTTCAAAGGATGTCTCCCTCAGCTGAAAGCTGGAAAAGGGAGGTTAAGCGGTGAACCTTTTTTGGCCACCTGTTCGTGTTTCACAGGGAAGCCAATCCCCCAAAACGATCCAAACGGTTACAGCTTAAGGTTAACTGTAGTGGCATGTACTGACTACTTTGGTCTACTTGCCTGTTGCATGCCCTTTTAACAGCCTCTTCTTGTTCCACTATGCTAAGAAAGGTCCATCTGTTCTCGCCCTTCACTGCTCCATCCTCCCCAATCCACCCACCCCAAACATCCAGCAAGCCGCCCCCCCCACTAAGCGTCGCGTCCACTGACGCTTTTGGTCCGCCGCGTGCGCCGACCGTCGCCAGTTCACCGCCGCCAGCTCGCCTGTGCGTGGCCTCGGTTCGTGACATCTCCGGCGCCTTTGTTCATCGACGCCATGCGCGACGCCATGGCCTGACGGCGGACGAGACCGGTGCGCCGGTCGACCGGTGCGCCGGACCGTTGGTTCGCAGAGAAGGCTGGATCATTCGGCTGGCAGAATCCAAAGAGTCATGATGATGCCTCAAATCAGCATGAGGCTTTGTTATAAGTTGTTAATATGATTGGATAATGATTGGATACCTCTCACCCATCCTATCATTCAAGGAACTACAAGACCTAGAGCA